AATTTATTTATTTATTTTTTTGAGACAAGGTCTCGCTCTGTTGCCTGGGCTAGAGTGCAGTTGCATCATTATAGCTCCCTGCAACATCGAACTCCTAGGTTCAAGCAATCCTCCCACCTCAGCCTCCCTAGTAGCTGGAACTACAGGTGCAGGCCCCATGCCTGGCTAAGAGTATATCTTTAGTGCATAGGTGTTCCTCAACTTAAATACTAGGACTGCTCCAGACTGGTTAGTTGATAACACTTCGTTTTTGAGTATATGGGATTCAAGTCACTTTAGAAGGCAAGCATCGTCAGACTATCGCTGAGATATGAAATTTATACTGTGTTTTCTTGTTGATTTCAACTAATTCAAAAGTGAGAGCAGCTTATGGTGTATAGCCGGTTACATACCAATTTGGGGGGTTAATCTGTAAAGAGCAGAGAGCACAAAGTATCCAGTGTTAAGAGGCATGTCTATGCTAGCTACTGAACCCACCAAAAGTGTTTTTCAGGAGATAACATTTATTTAAAAAAAAAAAAAAGCCCCTCTAGGCAGCTACCTGATTTTTTTCTCTGTCTCTTGACTCTTTATGCCATTCTTTTTTTCTTTTTCTTTTTTCTTTTTGTAGATCATGTTTCAGGCATATGGAGACAAACAGGGACCACTGCATGGAATGTTAATCAATACTCCATATGTGACCAAAGACCTGCTTCAATCAAAGAGGTTCCAGGCACAGTCCTTAGGGACAACATACATATATGATATTCCAGAGATGTTTCGGCAGGTAAAATGGCTAACCAGGGGGCTCTGACATGTTCCAAGGAGGCAAAGTTTTCCTGAATTTCCATCAGATGAAGAATTGACTGGAAAAGGGGCACTCCCAGAGGGCAGGAAATATCTTGATAATATTTTCTTTTCTATTTCATTTGAGAATTTTTGACTGCCAAGTCAGATAGGATGTTTTTTTACGAATTAATGGGAAGAATGGTGAGAATAGAAGTCTCTTTTGAGTAGAAGAGAGTAAACTAAGACCATGTGCCTATGATGGTATTAATAGTTTACAATGACCTGTGTGAGGAATTACATATACATTTCTAAGTCTGTATTCAAATTGTGGATATTAAAAAAGAAGTATGAAACTAGTTCTCATTTTCCTATTTTCCGGGATAACCCAGGTCCCTCGTTGATAGCCTAGGTTAATATGATGAGAATCAATATAGATAGCATAGACAAATGGATCTAGAGTTCATGGCACAAGTTTACAGTATACGTTCTTTTGTGTGAGATTTATTATAGCTGAATAAAAACTAGTGTGAGAAAATATGACATTATGAATCTTATCCTCTATATGAAAATAAATTCCTTCGATCTTTATGGTGAATCATCTCTATGCTGCAGATTTTTCTTCTATCAATAGAAGGCAAGAAAAGTATATAACCAGCAGAAAATGCAACCGATAAAGTATAAAAAGAATATAGAATTTTTCCAAGTATCCTAGTCAATACTACCAGTATTACCACATTTGAATTTTAATGAAGTTATATATGTGGCTTTGTTAAATAGTCTGTAATTCCTGTGTTATTCACCAATATAAGAGATTACCTTTATGTAACCATTTGTTTACAAATTCTATCGCCTGAAACATAGCTACCTTCACTTAATATTTACCTTTTATAGCATTGTTAGCCTAAAAGCTGAGTTTGGTTCTGTTTCCCAGTGCCAGTGCTATAAATAGAAATCACATTCTAAATAATTCTTCTTATATAGTAGACATTGACACTGTGATTAGGATATATACGTATGTGTGAGTCATTTGGGCTTTAAATGTTACTTTGAGGCAAGCAAAGAAAGAACTGAACTGGTTCCTGCTTCATGAAAGATTTGTTTTATTTATAGAAAGTTGGAAATGAAAATCATAATGTTTTTATAATGAATAGGTGTGTCTGTCTATTTTCTCAAATTTGAGCATAATTGATTTGCACATTTACAAACAGTAATGTACATTTAGTTAGCTGATTCCTGTGTATGGGCCTGTAGCTATGAAAAATATTAGAAAGAAGATTCTTTCCCTAAACGTCTAGTAAAAACTTTATTCTTGCCTTCTGGGATTTTCTTTTTATTAGCTGAATGTCATGTCACTTTCCTGAATATTCTTCTATTGCCAAATTTGTTTAGGATTTTTTTTCCTTTTTGTAAGAAGGATTTAATGCTACTTTAGTTTTTTAATTTTAATATTCCTGGGATAGTGTTAGGTCTTTTGTGTGTGTTAATGCTCTAGTGCTGATTCAGAATCACTCAATAGTTTGACTCTGTTGGAAAAGTGCCTGACTTTTGGCATGTAAAAAATAATTACAAATTTATTTTAACTGAGAGTGGGAGCTGGAGAATTTGGTCTACTGCTTAGATTCTCTGCAGAACACTTGGAAAAGAAAGCAAAATCAGATTGACTGAATCATAATGATTATTTTTGTCTGTATTGAAATGTTAATTGTCACTGAGTAATCAACCTTCTCTCTCCTACTAGTCCCTGATCAAACTCTGGGAGTCTATGTCCACTCAAGTATTCCTTCCCTCACCTCCTCTGCCATCTGACATACTGACATATACCGAGCTAGTGTTGGACGATCAAGGTCAGCTGGTACACATGAACAGGCTTCCAGGAGGAAATGAGGTGAGTTGTCAAAACTTGCCTCCCCTTCTTATTTCTGTGCCCACTAGTAACCAGCGTTCTGTGGGGGTGACCATTAAATAAGTACTGTTTAAGATTGAAGTGGCATAGGCAGAATACTAGTCTTGTTGGTAGAGTTCTTTAGAAAGAGAACGTTGACTGGATATCAAGGAATTGTTGATTTTTAAGGTGTGATAATGGTATTATGATTTTGCTTTTTAAAGAAGAATATTGTTTTCTGTTATACCTACATACTAAAATATTTATAGATGCAATGATTTGCTTCAAAATAAAAAGGGGTGAAGGTGGGAGTACAGATGAAACAAGATTGGTTATGAGTTGATAATTGAAACTAGGTGATAGCTACATGAAAATAGATTACTTTCTCTATTTTTGTATATGTTTGAAATACTGAGATTTTCTATAATAAAAACATTTAAAGTATTGTTTTGCCTAATGTTTTTCCTTATTTGGATACTTAATTGCATACTAATATGTGTTGTTTTTTTTTTAAGTATCTTTTCCATGCTCAGCTCATTTGATCTGCTACTGTTGTGAGCATGATAAATGTGTTTTTCATAAAGGGGCTCAGTCAGCACCAGGGGTTTAAATAAAAAGAAAGTAACAGAGAACCCATTTTTTGGTAATTATCCAATAATGCGTTTCCTAGAATTGGTATCCCTTCTCACATAGTAACCTATTAATGATGATATAAAGTCATATTCTGCTCTATACTTTTTTTTTTTGAGATACAGTCTCGCTCTGTCGCCCTAGCTAGAGTGCAGTGGTGTCATCATAGCTCTTTGCAACCTCAAACTCCTGGGTTCAAGCCATCCTCTTACCTCAGCCTCCCGAGTACCTGGAACTGCAGGCACACACCACCATGCCCAGCTAATTTTTCTATTTTTAGTAGAGATGGGGTCTCTCTATTGCTCTGGAACTCAGGTTTGGAACTCTTGAGCTCAAGCAATCCTCCTGCCTCAGCCTCGCAGAGTGCTAGGATTATAGGCTTCAGCCACTAAGCCAGGTCTCTTCCCTGTCTATACCCTCCTCCAAGCACTGAGATTCTTCCTGATTTTAACTGTTTCTAATGTACAGTTATAATAGTAATAGCAAAGTAACAAACCTATAAAGAGATGTTTTTATTTCAACCTTAGATATAATCCCCAGATAAATCTCATTCCGTAGAAGAAATGATTTTTTTTTTTTTTTTTTTTAATTGAGACAGAGTCTCACTCTGTAGCCCAGGCTGGAGTGTAGTGGCGTCGTCATAGCTCACTACAACCTCAAACTCCTGGGCTCGTGTGATTCTCCTGCCTCAGCCTCCTGAGTAGCTGGGACTACAGCTGTGCGCTACCACGCCCAGCTAATTTTTCTATTTTTTG